TTAAGAAGGACTTTACCGGGCTAATTTCCCCAGTTTTTAATGACTTGATGGAGTTGTTGTCCTCCTGGTCTCATTATCCGCTTTCGTGGTTCGGTAGAATCAATCAATGCAGTCCTCATGACTTACCTTCCCAAATTATTGTACGTGTTTCAAGTTTTACCAGTCCCTGTTCCTTCACATATATTGCGTATTTACCAGCGAAAACTCCTGTCTTTCATCTGGAGCTCCTCTCGACCCAGAATCAGTAAACAAATCTTATTTGCTCGTAAGACCGAGGGTGGGTTATCTGACCCGAACCTTCAGTCTTACTATCTGGCGGCCAATATTGCCCTCTTAGCCCAACTCCATGCATTTCACCATTTTCCCTTGTGGGCTACTGTAGACTTGATGGACTCCCACCCGATTCCACTCTCTTCTTTACCATGGCTTCCTTCTACTCATCGACCCTCATCCCTTAGTCCGACGTTGACACTAAAGCTCCGTCTTTGGGACTCCATTAAATATTCTGCTGGCCTCATTTCTGCTCATCTACTGTTACTATGGTTGCTACACAATCCATTATTTCCCCCAGGTCGTGACAATCCTGGACAGTTTGCTTGGTGGCAAGCAAATGGCTTCCATGATATTCATTCCATGCTCTCTCCCACTCGGATACTCGCCTTTGAAACTCTGCGCTCTTCTTACAATATCCCATTGTGGGAACATTTTGGATACCTTCAACTCTGCCACTTTATCAGTACTTTAATACAGACCCTACAGGTTGACCCCCTTTGAAAGTCAATGTAGATATAGACCCCATGCTCCAGGCTTAATTTCCCTGGTCTACTCTTCCATTATTTCTCATAGAACTCCTCCAGTCCATTGTTATTATCAGCATTGGCAGTCGGAAATTGGGGGCACTCTAGATCAGCAGGATTGGCGGATCATGACCCAACAATTATCCAAATGTTCTAGGAATGTTATCATCCTATAAAACGCATACAAGGTTATTTATAGATGGTATTACACGCCTGCTCGTCTGGCTCGTTTTATTCCCACATATTCCCCAACTTGCTTTAGAGGCTGTCAGCAGACGTGTACCATGGTCCATTTTTGCCCCAAGGTGTGCAGATTGTGGATCAGAGTTTATGTCCTTCTCCGCACTATGTTCCACACAGACATTAAACGCAACCCGTACAAAGCGTTGTTATTTAAACCATTAGTGGGCCTACTTCATCCTGAATGTCAGTTGGCATCGCACTTGTTCATGGCCATCAAGCTGACAATTGCGAGAGCTTGGAAGACTCCCCTCCTCAGCTTCGAGGCTGTCAAAAACCGGATGAACTTTATAATGGTCTATGAAAAGTTGACAGCTATACTGTTAGACACCCATACAAAATTTTTACAGACATGGCGTCCTTGGCTTGATATAGCTCAACCGTCAAGATTCGACCAGTCCCTCTTGTCAATATAAAACTTATATACCAGTTTATTTTTATTTATTTTTTTTTCTTTTCTCTGCCGCAGTCCCCCTGGAGCCCCCCCCTTTTTTTTTTTTTTGTTGGTGTCTGTTTGTCTCCTTTCTCTTCGCTCCTTTCTTTCCTCTTGTCTAGTCTGTCTTCTTCGGGTTATTTGTGCTGATTGTGATTCCTGTTTTCAGTCCCGTACCAGCAATACTGCCACCCATGTGCTGGACTCCTTTGAGAGCCCTGCGTGTTAAATACCTCTCTGTACTCAGAGAGGCTCCTTCTCCTATTCATCTAGCATTCTGTATGCTGATTCTGCAACAATTTTTCCTGAGAGTTTATTATGTTATTAGTCTCTAAATGTCTATCATTTTTGCAATTTATTGTCTTTTCTTTCTGCACGGCACTTATGTACGCAGTTTATTTTCATGATTTCTCATCAGTACATATTCTGTATTATCCATCGAATCTTTTGTATGTTATATTCCTGCTGGTCATTGCATATGTTCTTGACTGATTCTCTGCTGCTTCCTATTCTATAATAAAATTCTTTGTAAAAGAAAAAATGTTTTTATTATTTATTTTTTGTATATTTGTGTATGTGTTTCTCCACACTAAACAGCTTCTTGAAAATGGTACTTTTTCCTTGTACTCTCTTTTTCCTAGGTCTGTGGAGATTACATGCCCCCCTCCATTCTAAAGTTGGTTTTCAGATCGAAACAATTCAGTTCTGCAAGTCTTCATTGATGCACACTGACTGTCCTCCTTTTCTTGCCCATCCAGGCTGTAGGCAGTGTTAATGATATTTTTTATTTGCCCTGCAAACCTCATGTTGTTTTTTGGTATGTTTTTAGCTAAAATGTCACTTTCAGAGGACTTTAGCATCCTGCCTTGTTACAGCAGATGTATTTTTATTGCCTCCTAAAAGCATGTCATTTAAATGATTAGCGTTCTTTAAACTGTGGACCTGGATCATGCATGAAAAGATCCCTTTATCAATGAATATTCTTTGTTGACTATTTTGGTTTTATGGCCATGTGCATGTGCCCTATGGCACTGCCTAGCCAACTGCCCAGATGGAGGAATCTGTGCTAAAAGTGTAAGTATGTCTGGCTAGTATACACTGTATTTCCTACAATTTAGTGCACTGCCAAGCACATTGTTAGGGATGAGCTGGTGGTTTGGACCAAACTTTGGATTTTCAGGCATTCAAATGAATGCCCGACTCTTGCCTGGCTGGCCCCATGTTTGGCAGGAGTTGAGCATCATGTGTAGAAATGGTATTTCTACCACTTCAATATATAACAGCTTTTCACTGTCACTGGTTCCTAATAAATCAGCAAGTGCTTGCACCCCCTGAATTTTTAGAATCCATACCATGTAAGCAAAGGGGGGAGGGGATAGCAGTAAGATCAGTGCCCAAATAGCCAATAATGTCATCACTATCCCCATCCTTTCCGTTATATAACTTATGACAGACCAGGAAGATGTCATTTGGCCAATAATACTGTTGGGATTGGTTATTTGCGCTGTAATTTTTTTGGCATGAGGGCAATAGGTATTGTGATTGATATGGATTTACAATCTTTTTCATACTAATAACCTCACCATCCCTGGAATTGCTCATTTCCAGACAACAGCATGATATATCCCAAAAAATAAAGCCGGATGTCCTTTTTTTTAGTTTTGGCTAATGTCAACATTCTCATTCTTAGCATTTAATTTGTAAATTCTATTGCCAGGCTTGTAGTAATGTGTTGCTTTAAATACAAAGTAAAAAGACTTACATCACCTCAGCAGCACAAGAAGTGATTGGGAATCTAGTTAACATTAGCAACAAAGAACAAAGGTATACCGCTCAGGCAAACAATCCAGATCAATCCACAACAGGTGTAGGCTCTGGCTCGCCATCACACACGAGGGAATAGGAAGAAGGGTCAGCCTCACACCGGAGGATAGATGAATATAGTGTGTGTATTTATTGATCCATAGGACACACAAAACACTAGGACATGAATACAGTACCTGTTAACGCGTTTCACACAATCTCGTGCTGTTATCATAACCCATAATTAAGCACGAGATCGTGTGTGAAACGCGTTAACAGGTCCTGTATTCATGTCCTGGTGTTTTGTGTGTCATATGGATCAATAAATACACACTATATTCATCTATCCTCCGGTGTGCGGCTGACCCTTCTTCCTATAGTATAGCAGCAAGAAGCACACAGGAGGTCCAATGTTTTCCCAGTACCCTGCAATCCAAAGATACCAAAAATTACTTTCCTTGAAAGTATAACTAAAGGCAAATGTTTTTTAGGTTATTAATATTATTATACAGGATTTGTATAGTGCCAACAGTTTGCTCAGCGCTTTACAATATAAAGGGAGACAATACAGCAACAATACTGTTCAATATAAGAGGGTTAGGAGGGCCCTTTGAGCTTACAATCTAAGAGGGAGGGGCTGGTGGTACAAAAGGTAATAACCGTGGGGGATGAACTGATAGGAGGAATAGAAGATTCTGTTATTAGCTGAAAGCAGGATAGGCTTCCCTGAAGAGATAGGTTTTCAGAGATCACCTAAATGTCTGCAGAGTAGGCGATAGTTTGGTTAGATTGGGGTAGACTTGTTAACCATTATCACTGAAAGTGAAAGAAAATCTCAAATTTTGGGTTGTCACTAGAAAAGGAATAGCAGGGAAATATACCAATGGGGACACTCATTTTGTAGGGACTTAGTTTTCTTTCCTGTTTTGGGCATTGGACAAGAAATGGAGGGGTTATAACCCACCCTTACTCTATGGAAAATATATAAAAAAAAGGATTTTGTCTTTAATTCTTCTTTAAGGTGTATGTCTGCATGAAGTGATTTTTTTGGTTTGTATTTTAGCTGAGGCTTACAACCCGTCTGTTTTTTTAATGCTCTGTGTGTCTCCATGGGATGTCACATTAATTTTGGCAACAACAGTTTGATATACATAAAGAGGGGATTTACTAAAACTGGTGCACTCAGAATCTTGTGCAGCTGTGCATAGTAGCCAATCAGATTCTAACTTCAGCTTGTTCAATTAACCTCCCTAGCGGTATGATTATTTCAGATTTTTGGTGCTGAAAGCGGTACCATTATTTTGCATGGAAATAAGTAGTTTTTTTTATTGTAGGCTGTAATTTTTAGGAATAACTCACTGAAATCTGTCCGAACAAGAGTCTATTAAACATCCCGGGTATGATAAAATTTGAAACACGAAATCATAAATTATAATTTAATAAATAATAATAAAAAAAATAATATAATAATAATAATAATACATTTAATTCAATAATATAATCAAACCAAAAACACTGAAATTTGAAATATAGCGCCAAATTCGCACATTGCTGAGCAAAGTCGCAAAATCATTTTCAGTGTCTGATGACGAATTTCCCCACGAATCATTATCACTCAATTCTGCAAGTGGTTCTAATTTACTATCGCTGTTCTCTAGCTGATCTAAACCCGCTTTTGACCTAAAGGGACACTTTTTGGACGCCATGAACATTTCTCAGTTTCCAGACAGAAAGAACAGACAAAACGCAGGCAGGGCACAGGACAAAGCACTAGGGACAATATGTATGTGAAATGGGTTGAAACAGCAATGTTTTACTATGAAAAATGTGTTTTTGAAAAAAATTACAATTTTTTAAAATTTTCAAATTTCCCTCTGCCGGCGGCGCCCGTACGTCCCGATGTCACAAGGACCGGAACACAGAAGCCGGATGCCGGCATCGGCCGGAGGAGATGGCCGGGGATGCTGCAGGGGACACATCGCGGGAGCGAAGGACAAGGTAAGTGCTGCAGGGACTCCCTATGCAGCGCCACATGGTAAGCCCCGAGTGTAGCTCGGGGTCACCGCTTTTGGCAGTGACATTTTACCCTGAGCTACACTCGGGAATACCGTTAGGGAGGTTAAGCTTTGGCAATAAAACATCCAAAGTGATACAAACTCTGAATTAACACAACAAAAACAAAAAATGATTTTCCTTGAGAATATGAGAGGAAGAAAAAAGACAATGAGGATTATTAATAAAACTGTATGGTGCAAAATCTGGTGCAGCTCTGCACAGAAACCAATCAGCTTCCAAGATTTATTGTCAAAGCTTAATTGAACAAGCTGAAGTTAGAAGCGCCATATCTAAAAAAATGGCCTGGTCAGGAAAGGGGGGTAAATCCTTTGGAGGGCAGGTGGTTAATGTGTTGCTGTGTCTGATTTTTTTTTTACTTACTGTTTGTTAGCATGTTTAATAAGCAAAGAAAGTGAGTGTAGATCTTAAAGCAAAGTACTACTCAAAAGCTCTGCTTATTTGCCTCCTCCCCCCCTCCACTGCCATATTTGGGCAGCTTTTGGAGGGGAGTGGGTACCTGGTTTTGGCAGGTACCCGCTCCCACTTCCGGCTAAGTTCACTGTGGCGAAGTGAGGTGGCAGTTTGGCCCCCTCCTTCCTCCCGCAGTCTTCTGGGAATTTTCACAGGTCCCAGGAGACTGCTGGACCAATTAGGAGGCGCAAAGCAGCTCGCATGTACACAGTGGGCACCAGGCTGTAAAGCCGCAAGCTGTCACAGCCTGGTGCCCACAGTTGAGATGCCGGCGCCATGGAGGAGAGAAGGGGAGAAGGGACGGTGTGTGTGAGAACATCGCTGGACTCTGGGACAGGTACAGTGTGGATCGAAAGTTTGGGCACCCCAGCTAAAAATTTGTATTAATCTGTATAAAGAAGCCAAGAAAAGATGGAAAAATCTCCAAAAGGCATCAAATTACAGATTAGACATTCTTATAATATGTCAACAAAAGTTAGATTTTATTTCTATCATTTACACTGTCAAAATAACAGAAAACAAAAAATTGCGTCTGCAAAAGTTTGGGCGCCCTGCAGAGTTAATATCTTGTACTGCCCCCTTTGGCAAGTATCACAGCTTGTAAACGCTTTTTGTAGCCAGCCAAGAGTCTTTCAATTCTTGTTTGAGGTATCTTTGCCCATTCTTCCTTACAAAAGTCTTCCAGTTCTTTGAGATTTCTGGGCTGTCTGTCACGCACTGCTCTTTTAAGGTCTATCCATAGATTTTCAATTATGTAGAGGTCAGGAGATTGTGAAGGCCATGGCAAAACCTTCAGTTTACGCCTCTTGATGTAATCCCCCGTGGATTTCGAGGTGTGTTTAGGATCATTATCCATTTGTAGAAGCCATCCTCTCTTTAACTTCAGCTTTTTCACAGATGGCATCAAGTTACCATCCAAAATTTGCTGAAATTTTATTGAATCCATTTTTCCTTCTACTCGTGGGATGTTCCCTGTGCCACTGGCTGCAACACAACCCCAAAGCATGATTGATCCAACCCCATGCTTAACAGTTGGACAGAGGTTCTTTTCATTAAATTCTGTGCCCCTTCTTCTCCAAACATACCTTTGCTCATTCCGGCCAAAAAGTTAAATTTTAACCTCATCGGTCCACAGAACTTGTTTCCAAAATGCATCAGGCTTGTCTATATGTTCATTTGCAAAGTTCAAATGATGATTTTTGGGTGAGGACGTAGAAGAGGTTTTCTTCTGATGACTCTTCCATGAAGACCATATTTGTACAAGTATCTCTTTATAGTGGAATAGTGTACCACAACTCCAGTGTCTGCCAGATCTTTCTGGAGGGATCGTGCAGTCAAACGTGGGTTTTGAATTGTTTTTCTCACAATCCTGCGAGCTGTTCTGTCTGATATATTTCTTGGTCTTCCAGATCTTGCTTTAACTTCCACTGTTCCTGATGGCTGCCATTTCTTAATTACATTCCCGAACAGTGGATATTGACATCTGAAAACGCTTTGCTATCTTCTTATAGCCTTCTCCAGCTTTGTGAGCGTCAACTATTTTCAGTTTCAGTTTTCTAGACAACTGCTTAGAAAAACCCATGGTGCTGATTGTTCGGGCAAGGTCAGATGAGTCTGGGCATTTAAAACCTTTGAGCTTGACATCACCTGGTCTTCCCAGACGATGATTGAGAACAATCCATGACACTGGCAGGTCTCAGCTTTGCAAAGGGGGCAGTGCATGCTATAAATTCTGCAGGGTGCCCAAACTTTTGCAGATGCCATTTTTTTGTTTTCTGTTATTTTGAAAGTGGAAATGATGGAAATAAAATCTAACTTTTGTTGACATATTATAAGAATGTCTAATCTGTAATTTGATGCCTTCTGGAGATTTTTCCATCTTTCCTTGGCTTCTTTATGCACATTAATACAAATTTTTAGCTGGGGTGCCCAAACTTTCGATCCCCACTGTAAGTGTGTGTTTATTAAAAGTCAGCAACTACAGTTGTTGTAGCTGCTGACTTTTAATAAACACAAAAATGGCTGGAACTCTGCTCTAGTAACGTCGGCTCACTGGGCAGTAAACACCAGACAGAAGTTTGAATGCTGCTTAACTCTACACTACACAAAGAACAACTGCCTTGTTAACAGTCAGGGATAGGTAGTAAGGTTGACACATTAGTCTGAACGCTCTTGGTAATTTTTCCTGAGGAGTGAATTTGCTAGGGAGGAGCCACACCATGGGGAATAAACTTTATCTATGGATTATGCGCAAAGTAAATCTTTTCTAAATAAACAATTTGTGTAAGCTGCTCTGGCTGTTATGTCAGGCACGTGAAGGGATATACTACTATATTAAATCATAGTCACCTGTCAAAAGTATTGTTTTAATTAGTTAGCAGACTGCAATGAAATTGTGCGTGAAACAAGTGTATTACATCATTTAAACTTATGTTAAACTTCAACATGAACATGAATTGCGTCATCACAGCTTCACAAACCTAAATACAAAACAAATGGCACAATGCACAAGCTTGGCTCCTGGTTTGAAAAGAAAGATAAAAAGAAGTTTTGACATAAAACTTAGATCCTGTGCTACCAACAATACACCAAATAAATCACCAAAAATACTCAAATAAAATGCAATTAAATAAAATAACAAGTAATAGTAGCTGCTAACACCAATTGTGTTCCCACAATGATTACCTAAATAGAATTAAAGGTACCCCTGTGCTACTAGCATGATCGTGTAAATATCTTTACTATATAGTATTATACAAATACCAATAGTAAATATTAAAGAATGTGACCAAAAACTCAGCCTGGGCTGATGTGAACCAGAAGTGATATACGTACTAGGAAGCCACAGTGCATGGCAGCATGAATGTCAGGCAGTCTTAAAGGAACCTACAACCATTTTTCTGGATGAGAGTCTAAGTGTTCAAGTGGGCACCCTAGTGGACTGTAGGTACCAGTAAACCTATTTCAAGTGCCTAGGAGACCCTGGTGCATTATATGTGGGTTATAGTACTAAGGTGAGAGCATTGTGAGCACTGAGTTGGCACAAGATTAAGTAATACTGTTCATGGCATTGATTCACACTGGTGTTGGGTTAACAGCAGTGGAAGGTTCAAGAGCAATTATGTGTGCACAGGATATGAATTTATGTATGATATAGATTTTTATTATGTAGTGTAAAAGTTCATGGATTATATATATGATTGACAAGGACATTTATTTGGCATATTATTAATGTATTGTGGTATATTGTTTTGCACACACTTTGGTTCATTTTTCTGCTCACAATCTTTAGTATCCATCATTGGAATTTGTATACACGTTAGAATAATACTATATAATATAGATATTTACAGTAATATGCTGGTAGTACAGCACTATTTATGATTCTATTCAAGTTTTGATATAAACCCTAATTTGAACCAGAAAAGAAATATTGCAAAGATTAACAATTCTACTCTTTTAATACCTACAATCTTCAGTATTATATTAGTTAAAGTATTATTTAAAAAGCTGGGCCACAATTTAGGAATTTGATTTTTTTTGTGTAAAAGTATACAAAATATTAGAATAATACAACAAATATAAGAAAACAACAAAAGAGAAAAATTCCCCGCTCAGCTTGCCAACCAGCCTGCAAACAAATCAAATTGACCTGTCTAACAGTATACGTTCAAAACAGGGGTTTAGTTAGCACACATTTGCAAATACATGCGTAACCTACAGAGCCTTGTCAGGGCACCCCGATATTCTGTAGTTCCTAACTCTACAAATTTTGAGAGCCCACATAGTAGAGGCACATGTATTTAATGGCTAGGCCAAGGGCAGGTGGACCTGTGGGAGCCCACCCCTCCTTAAAAGGTACAGGAGCACACTGGACACCCAGCATGTAGCACAATGGCAGCTGTGGTGTCCAATGTGCCCCCTCACCAACAATTCAACAGTACAAAAAATGGTCACTGCCCCAGTCTATAACTGGCCTTCACAGCAAGGAGCACATGGAAGGGTGACGCATGTCAAGCAACAAAAGAGAAAAATTCCCAGCTCAGCTTGCCAACCAGCCTGCAAACAAACCGAATTGACCTGTTTAACAGTATGCGTTAAAAACAGAGGTTTAGTTAGCACACATTTGCAAATACATGTGTAAGCTTACAGAGCCCCCATAGTAGAGGTACATGTATTTAATGGATAGACCAAGGGCAGGTGGACCTGAGGGAGCCCATCCCTCCTTAAAGATATAGGAGTGCGCTAAGTATATAATATAAGAAAAAACAACTGTAAATATAACTTTTTACAAAAAAATACAGAAAGAAAATTCAGAATGGCAAGCTGACTTGGGGAAGGCCAAACCCCATGCTGTTCCTTCATGTCAGGGATCCTACAGCACTTCCAGACAACCAGGCTTTTACATACCCATTGATGAGCTGGTCTAGCACTGTTTAAGAAACAGAAGAAAAAAACAGAAATTAGAATCAGCTTAAGAGAAAGAAAAAACGTACTTTCAACAGAAACCAAGTTAGCATGAACATACTGACTTAGTTAGTGTCCAAATGTCCCT